CGGGTTAGTCTGTGGGCATTTCATAGCTGTAGATAGAAGTGAAAATAAACATGCTTTGGCTGAATGGTGGTGAGTCATTTGCTGACAAGGATAAGACACCAGCAGGAGGAGAGCAAGGAAAACTCTCTGAGGATGTTTTGTTTCCAGCCCTGAGCAGCATTTGTTGAGCTGGGAGATTAGGAGGCATCATTTGGTGCCCAGCACTCACATCCCCCAGTTGTTCAGAGACAGCATAAGGACCATGCAGGAAAGACAGCCTTCACACTCAAATGCCAAGGCCCCATGTAACCCCAGAAAAGAAGTGTGGCTTTTGGTAAAACAGGAACAAATAGGACTTTTTAGCTATTAACTTAAAAAAATTACAACGCATGCTTGTTATGAAAAATTAAAAGTGTAAAGAGATTATATAAGGTAAAAAAGACCTTCATCCAGCAGTGCTCCCCAGAGACAACCACTGTGAATAGGTGAGTGTGTCACCTTCCAGATATGTTTCTATGCATGCACGCATGGACCCAGGCACATAGGCACATACTACTTTCTTTTACAAAAATGTAATAGTACCAGCTAACATATACTTATGCCTATGAAAAAGCTGGTTCCAAGAGAAAGGAAGTGATATGCACAAGGTCACACAAAGATAGACTGGAGCAGAGACAGCCCTGGCCCTGTGTCTCTAGCCTATAGTCTCAGACTCAGACCACCTCCTACCCGCCTCACTCTCTTGGGCTGTGTGCATTCTAACTGAGCGCTATAGGGGATACCAATGCAGACAATTATTCTGGCATATAGCCAAGGGAAATAGTCAAAATTTTTACCGCTCTTCAAATTGTAGGCTCAGCCAATCAGAACTAACAGTGGCTGCAAATGACCTTCCTGAGGTTACTGGCTAAATATTGGCCCTGCATGTAGGAGTCTCATTTCATACCCTACATGGCTCTCTGCAGAGGGCTGGGAAGGAATCCATGAACGAATAAATGAGGATGCCAAGTGATTTGAAATAATACCACAAAGGAAGAAAAACTTCTTTCAATAGAAGTGTAATGTTATTAACTGCAGTGTTACCTGCCTATATATTTTTACAATCAGGGTCGTGTGAAAGGGGAAGTGGCAATAATGGAAAAGGGAAGATGCAGAAAGGAGACATTTATTGGAGTTCAGGAGAACCAGACCTGGGATAAGGCTCTGCACTTAGTGGCTCTGAGACCTTGGACAAGTGACTTAATCTCCTTGATCTTTTTTTTTTTTTTTCTCTTTTCTGTAAACATCTGTGAATGTGAGGAGGAGAGGCACAAAAAGTAATTTAACCACAATTATACTAATTAAGGGTCAAATAGACTGAGGGGTCTGAAGGACTTTTAGTCTAGTGGGCTTATAATTTAATGTCAGGGGTAGCCCAGGGATCCTGAATTATGCCAACAGAAAAATCATGAGATTTATGCAGATTTGGAAAGGAGACTTTATTTCCTATAAAGGGTTACAGCCTGGCAGTGACCATCCTGACAGGCTGAGAAGTATACCTCAAACAGAGACCGAAAGGCAGACACTATGAAGAAGGAAGGTTTGAGGCAGGAGCTTGATGCTAAATAGGTTGGCTAAATACACATATTCAACAGTTTACAGGAGAAGCTATGAATATTCACCAAGGGGTTCCTAATGTATGCATACTGAATAAACATGCATGTTACAAATGATCGATGTTCATTTTGGAGTGGGTACTTAACCTTAGGCTCTCTGTATTTCAGAAGGTAAAACAGGGACACAAAGGCACTCAATGCAAAGCCTCTATAAAACCAGTCAGAACCAGTCCATAGTTGGTGGTTTTTATTAGGGAAGTTACTGAAATCTCTTGTCTAATCAAAGCTGTAGTTATGACTTGTGGAACAGCGGATCAGTTAACATCTGGCAGTGGACGAGCCGCAGTTGGTTTAATATTGCTTTCCTTGAGGCCAGTGCTTGTTGAGCCACTTAGAGGAAAAAAAAAAAAAATCCTTGTGGCAGTTAGAACAGTTTATTCTTTAAGTGTAGGGGTGCATGACTTCACCTTTGCCTGGCATGGGCGTAGGTCCTGTTTATAATTTGGTATCTTACTGCCACAAAAAGTCTGTTCTGCCAGTCTTGTGATCTCTATTTTAACATTCTCGCTGGTCAGTTATTGTGCATAAATGCAAAAGGAAGAGGGATATAATGAGATGTGTCTGATCTCTTGTCTCCTCATGACCAGGAGCTCCATTTTTAAGGTTTCTCTGAAGTTCCTTGGCCGAGAGAGGCTCTGTTCAGTTGGTTGGGGGTGAGTACTTAAGATTTTAATTTTAGTTCTCAATCCCATATAGGATCTTGAGGCCTTTCTCATCTTCAGTTCAGTCTGAGGACAATTCTGAGTTCAACCTTTAAAAAAGTTCTATTCTTTCTATGTGCACCTCATCTCTATTCCACCACAAGCAGGAGAAGATCAACTGGTATGTTTAAAGAAACTACCAGGCGCCTGGCAATCCCTTGATTCCTGTACTGTCCCCGTCTTTCTTGTGATACTTTTTCTCAAGAATTTCTCATGGGTCTGCCTCACTTAACAGTGGACATACATATTCTCAGTATCCAGCTTGGAGAAGACCCAGACTCATGAAAGAGATGCAGAGAGCTAGGAGTGGGAGACAAGAGATAGAGAAAAGCCCTGACAGCATCACTAAATTCACCATGTCCTCGAGACTCATAATTCATACCATCATTATATGTTCTTTGGGTAATTGCTGCAACCTTCTAACAAGTGTCCCCATCTCCCAAAGAAGAGCTGGGATCACGACAAACCCCGAGACAAAAACTTGCCGTGGTTCATTGTTTATAGCATTGGCTCCGAATTAAGCCTCTTCAAAACAGAGGTTTTGGGTTTCAATGAATGGAATTTTACAAGGTGAGACTTGAGAACTAAAACTATCTACACCCTACAGAGCTTCTACATCAATATGACATTACTATTCCATTGTCTTCACTAGCATAACTTACCATTCCAGTGACTCCTACCTGGAACAATGGCTTATTCATTATAGAAATTTCCCCAAATATCCATCAACTCTTCAATAAAAAGTATCAACAGATAGTTTTTACCTTTGAATATCTTGCCTTACCTTGCTTTTCTCACCAATCTTAGGCTTCTGTGTTGTGATCTTTGCCCATTCCAAATCAAGACCTGCCCTGTCTCTCCATGGAGGGAAATGGCTTAAATGAAACTTAAATTTTCAATAAATTCTAACCTTGCTCTCTGAAATACTGCAAAATCTCTGCTGAAACGGTGTTTTCCCTGTCTCATCAACAGTTCGTATTGGTGATATTTGAAGAAATGGCATTTGACAGTCTCCAAAAAATTCTGTAGCACAGTTAGATTTAAGAATTCCTTGACAAAATTAGTCCAAATTCTTGAGTCTAGCATTCAAGGTCCCCAACAGTCTTACTCTTGCCTTGGCTTCAAATCAAATGTCCAATTAATCTCTTCCCCCTCTCCTTATTATACTTTGCGTTTACAAAATCTATACTATATTTATTTATTTTTTGTTTTCTAATTTTATTTTTTACTGATGCATAATAGGTATACATATTTTCAGGGTGTGTGTGATAATTTAATATATTCAAATAATCTGTGAATATCAAATTGGTGTATCTTAAATATTTCTTTGTGCTAGAAACATTTGAATTATTCTCTTCCAGCTATCTACCTCCCTTCTAGGGAGGTAACTATACAATAATATATTGTTTATTTAAAATAATAATATATTGTTTATATAAATATATTTATATATACATATTAATATATAATATATATTAATATATTAATTAATATTAATATATATTAATTAATATTAATATATTTATATATTAAATATATTTAAACAATATATTATTGTATAGTTACCTCCTGATTATCAAGCACTAGGTCTTATTTCTTCTATCAAACTGTGCATTTGTACCCATTAATCAATCTCTCTTTATTTTCCCTCCCTGCTTGTCTTCCCAACATCTGCTAAATACCAATCTACTCTCTATGTTCATGAGATCCACATTTTTTTTAGCTCCTACATATGAATAGGAATATGTGGTATTTGTCTTTTTATATTTGACATATTTCACTTAACATAATGACCTCTAGTTCCATTCATGTGGCAAATGACATAATTTTATTCTTTTTTATAGATGAATAATATTCATATATTACCTTTTCTTTATCCATTCATCCATTGATGGGAACTTAGGTTGATTCCATATTTTTGCTATTGTGGATAACATGGATCTCTAGGGCAGGAGCAAAATGCTGCCAGTCTCTTTGCTAAAGCACAGCAAGAATCACCTTTGTTCCAATTCCCAGTAAGTTCCTCATCTCTATCTGAGACCATCTCAGCCTGGACATTGTTGTTTATATCACTATAGCATTTTGTCAAAACCATGTAACAAGACTCTATGAAATTCCAAACTTCCCCACATCTTCTTATCTTCTTCTGGGCCCTCCAAACTGTTCTAATCTCTTCTTGTTAACCAGTTCCAAAGTTGCTTTCACATTTTTGGATACCTTAATAGCAGTGCCCCACTATACCAGTACAAATTTACTGTATTAGTCTATTTTCATATTTCTATGAAGAAATACCCTATACTGGGTAATTTATAAAGAAAAAGAGGTTTAATGGACTCGGTTCCACATGGCTGGGGAGAAATTCAAGCTGGTTTATTCACTCATGAGACTTACTCACTCTCATGAGAAGATTACAGGAAAAACCTACCCCCATGATTTAGTTACCTCTTGCTGGGTCCCTCCCATGGCACATGGGGATTATCGGAGCTACAATTTAAGATGAGATTTGGGTTGGAACAAACCATATCATTCCACCCCTGGACCCTTCCAAATCTCATGTCCTCACATTTTAAAACCAGTCATGCCTTCTCAACAGTCCCTAAAAGTCTTAACTCATTTCAGCATTGATTCAAAAGTCCACAATCCAAAGTCTCATATGAGACAAGGCAAGTCCCTTCCATTTATGAACCTGTAAAATAAAAAACAAGTCAGTTACTCTCTAGATACAATGGGGTACAGGCATTGAGTAAATACACCCATTCCAAATGGGAGACATTGACCAAAACAAAGAGGCTACAGGCCCTATGCAATTTCAAAATCTAATAGAGGAGTGTTTAAGCCTTTGAGTTCCAAAATGATCTTCTTTGACTACAGGTCTCACATCCAGGTTACCCTGAGGCAAGAAGTGGGCTCCCATCACCTTGGACAGCTCCACTCTTTGGCTTTGCATGGTACAGCCCCTGATCCTGGCTGCTTTCATAGGCTGGCATGGAGTGTCTGCAGCTTTTCCAGGTGCACAGTGCAAGCTGTCAGCGGATCTACCATTCTGGGGTCTGGAGGATGGTGACTCTCTTCTTACATCTCTACTAGGCAGTGGTCCAGTGGGGACTTTGTGAGGGATCTTCAACCCCACATTTCCCTTAAGCACTGCCCTAGCAGAGGTTCTCCATGAGGTCTCTGCCCCTGTAGCACACCTCTGCCTCGACATCCAGGCATTTTTTCATACATCCTCTGAAATCTAGGCAGAGGTTCCCAAACCTCAATTCTCAACTTCTCTGCACCCACAGGGCCAACAGCACATGTAAGCCACCAAGGTTTGGGGCTTGCACCCTCTGAAACAATGGCCTGAGCTGTACATTTGCCCTTTAGCCACAGCTGGGACACAGAGCATCAATTCCTAAGTCCTAAGACTGTACAAAAGAGTAAAGCCCAGGGCTCAACCCACAAAACCATTTTTTCCTCCCAGGTCTACAGGCCTGTGATGGGAGGGGTTGCCATGGAGATCTCTGACATACCCTGGAGACATTTCGCCCATTGTCTTGGCAATTAACATTTGGCTCCTTGTTACTCATGCAAATTTCTGCAACTGGCTTGAATTTTTCCTCAGAAAATGAGTTTTTCTCTTCTATTGCATTGACAGGATGCAAATTTCCCAAACTTTTATGCTCAGCTTCCCTTTAAAACACAAGTTTCAATTCCAAACCATATCTCTGTGAATGAATAAAACTCAATGCTTTTAAGAGCACCCAAGTCACCTCTTGAATGCTTTGCTGCTTAGAAATTTCTCCTGTCAGATATCCTAAATCATATCTCTGAAGTTCAAAGTTCTGCAGAGCTTTAGGGCAGGTACAAAATGCTGCCAGTCTTTTTGCTAAAGTCTAGCAAGAATCACCTTTGTTCCAGTTTCCAATAATTTCCTCATCTCTATCTGAGACCATCTCAGCCTGGACTTCATTGTCTATATCACTATCAATATTTTTGTCAAAACCATTTAACAAGTCTCTAGGAAGTTCCAAACTTTCCCCTATCTTCCTGTCTTCTTCCGAGCCCTTCAAACTGTTCCAGTCTCCTCCTATTACCCGGTTCCAAAGTTGCTTCCACATTTTCAGGTATCTTAATAGCAGTACCACACTCTACCAGTACCAATTTACTGTATTAGTCAATTTTCATACTGCTATGAAGAAATACCTGAGACTGGGTAATTTATAAAGAAACAGAGGTTTAACGGACTTAAAGTTCCACATGACAGGGGAAGGTGAGCTTTACAGTCACGCAGAAGGTGAAGGAGGAACAAAGGTACATATTGCATGGCAGCAGGCAAGAGAATGTGCAGGAGAACTGCCCTTTATAAAACCATCAGATCTTATGAGACTTATTACTATCATAAGAACAGCATGGGAAAAACCCACCCCCATGATTCAGTTACCTCTCACCAGGTTCCTCCCATGACATGTAAGGATTATGGAAGCGACAATTCAAGATGAGATTTGGGTAGGGCCACACCCAAGCCATATCAATTTATTTCAGCAGTGTTTTGTTGTTTTCCTTGTAGAATTCTTTCACCTTTTTGATTAGGTATGTTCCTAAGTATTTTATTTTATTTTTGCAGCTATTGTAAATGGGTTTGTGTCTTTGATTTGATTCTCAGCTTGGTTGCTATTGGTGTATAGTAGTGCTACTGATTTGTGTACACTGATTTATCCTTAAACTTTATTGAAATCATTTATCAGGTCTATGAGCTTTTTGGTTGAGTCTTTAGGGTTTTCTAGGTATACAGTCATATGATTGGTCAGCAGTGACAGTTTGACTTCTTTATACCAGTTTGGATGACCTTTATTTCTTTCTCTTGTCTGATTGCTCTAAGACTTTCAGAACTATGTTGAATACAAGTTGTGAAAGTGGGCATCTTTGTCTTGTTCCAGTTCTCAGGGAAATGATTTTGACTTTTCCCCATTCATTATAATGTTGGCTGTGGTTTTGTTATAGACGGCTTTTATTACCTTAAGGTATGTCCCTTCTATGCTGATTTTGCTGAGGGTTTTAATCATAAAGCACTGCTGGATTTTGTCAAAAGCTTTTACTGAGGCTATTGAGATGATCAAGTTATTTTTTTAAAATTATGTTTGTTGTATATCACATTTGTTGACTTGCAGATGTTAAACCATCCCTGCATCCCTGGTATGAAACCTATTTGATTATAGTTGATTATCTTTTCATATGCTGTTGAATTTGGTTAACTAGTATTTCGTTGAGGGTTTTTGTATCTATATATTCATTAGAAATATTAGTCTGTAGTCTCCTTTTTAAATTATTTATTTATTTATTTATTTATTTATTTATTTATTTATTTATTTTGAGAAGGAGTCTTACTCTGTCACCCAGGCTGGAGTGAAGTGGTATGATCTCAGCTCACTCACTGCAGCCTCCACCTTCTGGGTTCAAGTGATTCTACTGGCTCAAGCTCCCTGGTAGTTGGGATTACAGGTGTGCACCACCACATCCAGATAATTTTCTTGTATTTTTTTAGTAGAGATGAGGTTTTACCATGTTGGCCAGGCTGGTCTGAAACTCTTAATCTCCAGTGATCTGCCCACTTGGGCTCCCAAAATGCTGGGATTACAGGTGTGACCCACTGTGCTGAGATCTTGCCCCAGGCTACAAGCCTCCCTGCTGAGAAAGCACACATCGTTTTCATGCTTTACCCCCTCCCACCTGCCATGGCTTCTGTACTCATATCTGTACTTCCTATTCACCCCCTATCCCACAGATTCTGCCCAGGAAAATTCATACTCAGCTGAAATTATTTCAAGGTTCAGCTGGAAGTTTCCTTCTCACTGCAGCTCTTCCCCAATTCCACTGGCAGCCCTCCCTAAGGAACACTGTAACATAAAGTCAGAAATTGCTTTCCTGGGCTTCCTTGGGGGTCAGGAGTGTCTATACAGCTCTTTCCACTGCTTTTTCTACTTTTACATTTCACTTGGCTCTCTATTTGTTTCAGCTCTAGATAAGGTTAAATTCTTCTCCCATGATCTGGATTTTCAGGTTCCCCAGTGTTCAGAGGTAGACTTTCCCCCTCTCACACTTTGGGCATTCAGGTTTTTGGCTGTCTCATGGTGTTTGCAGGGGCAAGCTGCTTCTTTCAAAGGGTCTGTGAATTCTTTTGGTTTTCTACAGTATTCTCCTGTGGTAGTTCTTGAAGGAAAAGTTCACAATGTGAGTCTTCACATGCTGTTCTGTCTGACTGGGAGCTGAAAGTTATTCTTGCTTCCTATATGCCATTTTTTCCCCCAATTTAAGTTGGGAATGGTCTTTGTAATGTGTTGTTGAATTGGTTTGCTAGTATTTTGTTTAGGATTTTCATATCTAAATTAATCAGAAATGTTGGCCTGCAGTGATCTTTTTTGTTGTTTCTTTGTCTGATTTTGGTATCAAGGTAATGTTGGCCTCATGAGTTTGGAAGTATTTTTTATCTGCAATTTTTTTAATAGTTTGAGTGGAATGGGTATTAATTTTTCTTTAAGTGTTTGGTAGAATGCAACAGTGAAGACATTAAGTCCTGGACTTTTCTTTGACGGGAGACTTTTTACTATGGCTTCAAGCTTGTTGCTTGTTACTTGTTGGTAAGTTTAAGTTTTCCATTGCTTCATGATTCAATCTTGGTAGGTTGTATGCATCCATGAATTTACCCATTTCTCTTTTAGGTGCCCCCAATGTTTTGATATATATTTGTTCATAATATTCTGTAATAATTATTTTGTATTTGTGGTCTCAGTGGTTATGTCTACTTTTTTGTGGTTGATTTTCTTTATTGGAGGTCTTCTCTCTTTTTTCTTGGTTAGCGTGGCTAAATGTCTATTTTTTTATCTTTTCAAAAAGTTTACTTTTTGTTTCATTAATCTTCTGGATTTATTTAGTTTCAATTTTATTTATTTCTACATTGATTTTTATTATTTCCTTCCTTCTGCTAATTTTGAGTTTCATTTGTTCTTGCTTTTCTAGTTCCCTGAGGTGCATTATTAGATTGTTTATTTGAATTCTTTCTATTTTTTTATGTAGAAATATATTGATATAAAACTCCCTCTTAGTACTGGTTCTGCTGTACCCCGTAGATTTGGGTATGTTGTGTTTCTATTTTCATTTGTTTCAAGAAATTTTTAAATTTCTTTCTTAACGTTTTTATTGACCTATTTGTCATTCAGGAATATGTTGTTTAATTTCCATGTGTTTGTCTATTCTTCAAGGTTCTTCTTGTTATTGATTCTAGTGTTATCTCGCTGTGGTCAGAAAAGATATTTTGTATGATTTCTACATTTTTAAATTTGTTGTTACTTATTTTGTGGCTTAAGATATGGCCTATCCTGGAGAATGTTGCTTGTGCTGATGTTAAGGATGTGCAATTCGTAGCATTTGACTGAAATATTCTGTAAATGTCAGGCCTACCTATTCGGTCTAGTATGAACTTTTACTTCGTTGTTTATTTGTTGATTTTCTGTTTAGGTGATCTGTACATTACTGAGAGTGGGGTGTTAACTCTGCTACTATTATTGTATTGCCACTTATCTCTTCCTTTAGACTTATTAGTGTTTGCTATAAATGCTCATGAGTGCCAATGCTGGGTGTATACATATTTATAATTGTTATACTCTCTTGCTGGATTGACCTCTTTATTATTATATAGTGGTCTTCTTC